CAGCGGAACAACTGTACTCTACTGCTGATCACTGTTCCCCAGAAATCACTGTCCCCGAAACTAAACCCTGATCCCTGCAGATAACTGATTCTCAGTAACACTGATACTGGTGCCCTCGGGTCTAATACTCAATCTTGCAAACTGATATGTACGTTCCTATAGAGATACACTCTAAAAGCACATAGCAAGTAAAGAGAGCCAAAACACCCCTATATTGGGGTAGGGTTTCCCTGTCCTATTTTGTCAGGAGCTAGGGTTTCACTACGCACGCAGCGGTTTCAAACAACCTATAAACGGGTAAGCAACCTGTCCTAGCTTGGAATGGTCACTATGGATCCGAATATGCACTAGGTCGAATGGTCGAAAAGGGTGCCCCGGTCAAACCGGGGTTTGTGTTCCCATACTGTCAGAGCCCATAACCGGTTAGCCTTATGGTCATGCCTTGACAAGACAGGCCTTCGGCAAATCGTTCAGGAATGGCAGATGGCAAGCATGGTGTCCTAGGCACACCAATGCACATGCAATGCAAAGAGACACATAAATGAAATCAAAACAAGATATCACGAGTTCGAGTCAAGCTCTCTAAATTCCCCAGCGGAGTCGCCAGAAACTATAGACGCGCCCGCGTGGGGGCCCTCGCTACAGTTCGGACTCGATTTGTGTCACGGTTCTTAATCTGAACCAAAGAGTCCAAATCCGACAAATCGTTTTGAGAAACAGATTTTTGAAAAGAAGTGCCAAACATGGACTACTTTGCCAGATACAGAGTCACCACCTAAATATTTTTAAATGGGAGAATTTAGGAAACCCTGACTCGGTGCCAAAGGCCATGTGTCCGTCATCACCAAAGTTGCCTCGGCTCGGGAACTTGGGTACGATCGGGGAAGGTCAGCTATGAGCACCCCCTCTCGCCCGATCCGAAGATCGGCCTCTACTAACCGTGATATCCACTTTTGAAAACGTTATGTGCTCTTATTCCGTTTATTAGCCTAGAAGTACTATGTTATGCGCACAGCACACAAGTATAGACTAGATTGCCTAATTTGGAAATAAGCATTGCATATCCGTTTGTCTTAAAAGAAAACACTTTGGAATTTGCTACTCGCAAGTAGGCTAAAATACGGATTTCAACGTGTTTTTCCAACTCAAACAATCCAACCTTCACCCACAGGCATCCAAACAGTTTATCACATAAGCATCTAGCCACATGGTAAGCATGTTGTCATGATAGCATTCACACGCATGCGATATGCTAAAGTAGGAAAATACTTACATAGTACTCTGTGCCAAAACAATAAACTAGTTAGCCAACATGCATGGTCCTAGTTCATGTCAAATTTGACTAATGTAACACATACAGAATGCAATTAGAATAGGCTCGGCTAACCCAAGCATGGTATGTGAGATACAGTCAATTGATGCACGTATTCAATTTGGAATTAAAGTACAAATGAAATTAGCATGATGCGCCGAGCCCGGTGCATGCAATACAAATGCATGAATACACGCATGCATAGCATAAGGTATGCTAATTTAAACATGACCTATTACTAACCATCAAAGCAGGTAAGTAAAAGGGAAGAAAGAAGTGGGGACTGCAAGACCACACTTATTACAAATTCGCCCTCGCTCGGAGGGACCAAAAGAATAATACAAATCCAATAATGAATTAACTATCCTAGCTAATTAATTATTACAAATTGCCTAATTAGTTAACAAACTAACTAAGCTAGGAAAAACAGTAAACCGCCTCGGGAAGAGAGCTCAATGCAATGCATGCTCGGTCCTGCTCGGAAGTGCACTGCCATGCGCAAGCTGCCTCTGTTTTCCCTGCTCTGCTCCTCTGAAGACTGCCAAAATCTCAGAATTGCTTCTCTGGACATTGGGAGACACCACCGGCTGAGTAGAATGGTCACCGGCAGTGGTTTGGTGTCCCTCGGCACATGATGAATCCATCGGCTGCCGATTGATTGCCGGTCGGCACTCCATGAAGTCGATCGGCAGAGAATGCCTGCAGAACCTGTTTGACAGCAGCTGAGGACAGGACTTTGCATGGCAATGCAATTCAAGCCATATATGCACCAAACATGTTCCTTATCATGTGAGTGAGTCAAAGGGACATGCTTCTTGGTTCTCGGACCACCAATCGCGTATTTCAATGCATGATGGCCCAAGAGACCAAGCGTGCACGCTTTGATGTCAAATGACATGCAATGCACACAATCAAATCAAGAGGCTTCTACCTCTATCATGACTTGGTCAAGAGGTAGAGCATGCATGCCAATGCAATGCAACTCTAATCATGCGAACTAGCATGCAAGCATGAACATGGGCAATGTACAAACATGCAACAACGTGTTAAGTGGCTAGAGGAGAGAATACATGCCAAATGTATTACAACCTAAGCATACAACAACATATCATGCAACTCAAGCACTGCAACAAAATGCAATTACGTATGGCATGCAACACAAGGTGAAATGGAGTGAATATGTGATAATGCGCAAGGCATGCATGCAATAACATAAGAGGATGGTCTTACACTAATTTGGACAGCCCTATGCTAGGCCCAAAATAGTGGCCAAAGTGCTATGAAATGAGGGCTAAATGACATGCAAACATGCATGCCCACAAGGGCCAACACTTAAGCATTAAAGAGCAATTCTCGAGCACACTCAAGAGGGTGCAAACATGGACAAATGACATGCATTAAGCTCTGAAAATCATGCGAGAACATGGTGCCAAACCAAGCAAACAAGATAGGCTAAACATTAGCATGCAAATGGCCCAAGTACTTGAAGCAAGTAAAGGGGGCTTAAACCATGGTTAAGCCAACCAAGCCTCACAAGGCCAAGAGGGCTTAAAACAGGTCCAAGGCAAACCTAGACCATGCAAAGGGGACCCCTAGATGGCATCTAAGTGGCTCAAATTTAAAAGCATGCACCATGGCCAAAACATGGTGCATGCAAGACAAGCTTCCAAAGCTTCAAAGAGGCATCCAAGGTAAGCATACAAGCATGTTAAAGGGACTGAAATAACATGGCAAATGGTCCCAAATCACTAAATTAAGGCAAGGATGCATGCTACACATTCACACACTTAAGGCCAACAAGCCAAAAATGCAAAGGGGCTATACAATGCATGCCATGGCTGACCCAAACAACTATGAACAGACCTCAAGCATGGCAAAATAAGCACAAAAGCTTCACAAAGCTAGACCTAAAACATGCTAGGATAATGGTTTACAACCTAAGGCATATTAAGGCCTAAGCATGGCATTACAAGGTAGGTATGCTAAGCATGCATGGTGTACCAAAACTAATTAAAAACAGAGGCATATTATGACATAATAAGCACAAAAAACAGCCAAGGCATGGTCAACATGAAGCTTAGCTAGGTGCTCCCTCAAGAGGCCAAAAATGGTCCTTTTCAAGGACAACAAGGAGAGGGGGTGGCCCTCTCCTCCCTAGGACCTCAAGGCACCATCCTCACCTCTGAAATCCCTAAAGATTTCAGTGGTGAGGAGGCCCAAACACCAAGGTCCCGGAGCTCACTCAAAATAGCACAAAATGGGGCCTCTCAAGGCCTAAGAGGGGTCAAACATCTCCAAACCACAAAACACTCTAAACAAACTATTTAGAGGGCCTAAAAATAGAACTTTTTTATATTATACACTAAGCTTAAAAACAGTTCTAAGATAGGAAAAAAACAATGCGAGAATGGAAAATAAAAGGGCAAGAATGTTACCCTTGAAGACCTTCTTCACAAATGGTGGACCAGTTGGTTCTTCAAGCTCAAAACCACCCAAGAACACCAAGAACAACCTCTGATCCTTCAAGAATCAAGCAAAGGTGTAACACTATGTATTTGTGTGCAATAGTATGGACAAACACACCTAGAACACAAAAGAGAGGAAAAGAGAGATAGAATAGCTACAACTATACTAACCCTAGAACCAGAGCTCTCCTCTGTATTTTTTGTCTCTAAAATGTCTAACCCTAAAGCCAAAAGAGGAGGGCTCCTCTTATAGAAGTCTCCCTTTGCAAAGCTTTCCAAACAAGCTTGCTTAGAGGGAAATCCCTCCATACACGTGTATGGAGGGGAACAGAGTGGGTGCCAGCTATCACAGTTGGCACAAAATATCTACAAAAAGTAGATGAACAGTAGTCGGCTGCTCAAAATTTCCATTTTGACAAAATGAACTGCCGACCGGCAACAAATAGTGCTGACCGGCAGTACACATTGCCGATGGCAACAAAAAACCAGCTGGTGGCCTCTAGCCATGGCCGGTGATGTGTGGGGATGCCTCACAAGGCATTCCCTGCCCCTCCATGGCAAAACACAAGTGTTCGGTGCAAAACCAGACACTAAACAGTCGAGTTCGGAGATCCTGAGGCAAGGCGCGTAGCCGAGACCTCCGGGAACTCCAAACGAACACAAACGTGGATGATCACCAGGTGTTCAAACGGTGACGTCCAAGTCTTGAGGACGGTCAAAAATGGAGTGTCTACAAGTGCATTGAGCGTTACAAAGCTCGTCTTGTTGCCCGGGAATTTACTCAAGAATATGGGATTAACTATGAGGAAACTTTTGCTCATGTTGCCCATCTTACTTCAGTTCATAGCCTACTTGTCATTGCTACTGCTCACCATTACAGTCTTTGTCAGATGGATGTTAAGAACTCTTTTCTCAATGGTGATCTCACTAAAGAAATTTATATGCAACCTCCTCCTAGTTCCTTAGTTCCATCCATCAAAGTTTGCAAACTTTGTCATACTTTGTATGGTTTGAAACAAGCTCTCCATGCCTGGTTTGCCAAGTTCAGTTGTACCATTTGTGACTTTAGATTCTCCTCTAATGTCTATGATTCTACTCTGTTTATACGTACGACAGGGCGTGGTATTATTCTTCTTCTTCTCTATGTGCATGATATAATCATCGCTGGAGATAACACAGTAGGTGTCTCTAGTCTCAAACAGTACCTCAATTGCTAGTTTGAGATGAAAGATTTGGGTTTGCTTAGCTACTTCCTTGGCTTGGAAATTTCTCATGATCCTTCTGGTTACTTTCTCACCCAGGCCAAGTATACCATTGATCTCTTGGCTCATGCTGGTCTTACTAATTACAAGACTGCCTCTACCCCAGTTGATCATCCTCAGACTGGTCTCACACCTCTTGATAGTCACCTATTATCTGATGTTATTTTATATTGTCTGTTAGTAGGCAGTCTTGTCTATCTCACAGTTACTCGTCCAAGCATTGCTTATGCAATTCACATTGTCAATCAGGTCATGGCTGCTCCTCGTTCTCCGCATTATAATGCTCTGGTTTTCATTTTGTACTATCTCAAAGGAACTATGTTTCACGATCTTCGCTACTCAACACATTCTTCTCTATAGTTACACGCCTTTTCTGAAGCAGATTGGCAGGGGATCTTATTGATTGTTGTTCTACTATAGGTTTCTACTTTTTCTTGGGTGACTCTCTTATTACTTGGCGTAGTAAGAAGCACACTCTTATTGTGTGTTCTAGTGTTGAGGTAGAGTATCGTGCTCTTGTTGATACTACTCAAGAGCTTGTGTGGCTTCGTTAGCTTCTTTTTAAAATAGGTGTTTCTCATCCTACTATCACCACCCCCTATTATGACGGTCGAAGTGCTATTCAGATCGCACATAATGATGTCTTCCATGATCGCACCAAGCATATTGAGATAGATTGTCACTTTACATGGCAACATGTTACGAGTAGCACTGTTTGTCTTCTCTATGTTACCTCTGTCAATCAGACAACTGACATCTTCACCAAAGCTCATCCTCCAAGATGCTTTTCTAATTTGCTTTCCAAGCACAAGTTGATATCTGCATTACAACCTTGAGGTTAAGGGGGGTCTTAAATATAGTATATATTCTCTATATATTTACATACTGTATTTTACAAGTGTTTTTCTTTTCTCCTCTCTCTCTACTCTCATAACAGAGGTGTCACGACCCGAACCCGCCCCCGTGGGTTAAGGACGTAACCGGCCAGTAATCATGAGATTACCTACGGCCTCAGACTGTTCTAAACGTATTTTAACAGAGTTAATGGGGGCCAAACGGAAGCAAAATTAAAAACTTTGTCCATAGAGCCGTGCTTATATGCACATCAAACAAACCATACTCAGATACGTTAATAACTCACATCAAAAGTACAGCTTCACAAAATTCATTACAGACAGGATCATCCAAAACGAGTCAACCTATAACAGACTATGTACAGACATGCACTAGGTCCTTGCCAACAAGACAAAACATAGGTACATAGTAAAAGGGCAAGGATGGTCTCATGCGCGAGGCACAAGGCTGACTCTCCCAAAACTCCTGTTGTTCCTAGCAGACTTCACTGGGGCTGGGTTTGGACTTCCCTTGGCTCACCTACAAATACATGAATGAGCGTGAGCGACAGCCCAGTGAATAATATCAAATATAACAGTTACATAACAATATGTAGAACAACATGCTCCAAACGGCCTTGGGCCCAATTCATACTTCTGTTTAACAACAAAATATATATATATATATAAGTATACGAAATGCAAGTCAAGAAACTGTAGTTCCAAACATTCTAGCCTTTGGCCCATCCGGGTTTCCATTCATGGCAAAAAGGCCTTCGGCCCATTCACTTATGTCGAAACGGCCTTCGGCCCATCCAT